ATACGATATGCTCCCCTATACTGACTTATATGAATGAAATGATGTTGATTTATTATTGGATAAAAATAAAACAGGATAAAAAGAAATTTACAAATTAGACATGTTTTTCGAAATATTTAAAATTTATTTTAAAAATATAAAAATAATCAATTACTGTCTCTCAAAATTATTATTTTTATATTAAAAACGTTAAAATACTTTTTAAAAACATTGCTGGAAAAATTATAAAATTGCGGTAGATTTTTGCGGGAGATTTCCAATTGCGGTAGTTTTGCCGGAGAGAGATGTCTGCGTGTAAACTAAAAAATTGCGGGAGTCTCCCGCTGATGGGGGGAGACATCGCAACCCTGATTGTGACCCATTATCAGAAATGATTATCTTATGAAATCCGAATCTGGCAAAGATATTTCTTAATATTTTGATCTTGCTTTCGGTTGTAGTACTAGTCATGGGAACTATTTCTGGCCAGCGACTGCTAGCATCTATTACTACCAACCAATAATGTTTTTGAAATGGTCCAACATCCAATATAATCAAAACCCCGGTGCCATGCTTTTGATGGTTTGGCCAATTTTGAATTGATGTCTTTTGAAGCATATTGTGTTGTTCCTGGCATTCTCTACATTTTTAATCCGTGTTTCTATATCTTTGTTTATATTAGGCCCCTACGAGTATTGTCTTGCTCTCATCTTCATTTTTACCATTCCAATATGTCCTTGATGTATCATGTCTAACACGTTGTTTCGGTATTGTTGTGATATTATCATTTTAGTTCCCAAAGTAAACAACCTCTCTGTTGTGATTTCCTCACTCCTTTGGCTGCACTCCTTTAAACACGTATCATAGTTTATTGGCCATCCGTCTATTGTATACCTGTATACTTTAGAGTACATCATCTTGCATTGTTTTTCTTTCGATTTCACTTGCATTTAAAGGTGTTTGTTCTCCCATGTATTTGATTTAATGTTTCTCTTTTGATATTGTGGTTCCCTGTATAGGTAATCGAGATAGCAAGTCAGTATTGGCTAGTTGTCGACAGGGATGTGAACCCGGACCCTGAACCCTCGTATTTTGGCTGAACCCGAACCCTGACCCTTTTTAAAAGTGGAGGGTCCTAGGGTTCTAGGTGTCATAAAATTTTTTTAAAAATAATATAAATTTTATTAACTTTTTTTGTGGAATCATTTATTTTATCTTTGCGTTTATCTTCCAATTTTCTTCCTGGACTTCCATTTTATTTAAAGATTGATATCATAAATTATTTCCCAGTGTAATATTATTTTATGTAAATTTATTAATATGCTATGTTATAGAAATACGTTGATTATTTTGTAGTACAATTAATAATATTTTAATTTAAATGATAATGCACAACACGTTGGTCCTCATTTTGTATGATGCTAGAACGATTATTAAGTTTGAAAGATTTCTGTAATGATTTTATTATAGGAGCACGTGAAGTCATTTTGTCGGAAGATGATTGGTGACAAATAAAGGACCTTACTAGTGTATTAGTTGCTTTAAAAATAACAATATTAAGATTACAATCAGAACAATTATGTTTATTTGATTTTAAGGTATATGGATTAGATGCCGATTAGATTTAGAATTTACAGTCCTTTTTATACTAAATATTAGAAAACATGAAAATTCGAGAGCAACATATTTGCAAAATAGTGTTATATATTTAGACCCTCGATATCAAGTTCTATTGAGTATTGAGCAATAACAAATGGCTAAAGACCATCTTAAAGATTTATGGCATAAGCAAAACTCCATTATTTACAATATATTGGAGGCTACGACAATACCCATTGGTTGTAGTGATAATAATAATGATAGCAACATTGATAATCTTGAAATTTTACTTTTAGATAGAGGAAAAAAAATCAAATTATTATCAGATTACCAGATATTTTTAAGCTTCCCTCACTTTAATTTTTAAATAGGCATCAAACTGGCCCACAAATTCGTAATGTTTTATCTTTCTTTTGAACAATTACTCTGGTGATGCATAAAGTGAATGATTAATTTTTTCTATTACTCCTATTTTTATCTGTCTAAATATTTTTCTTTTAATGCGTATGGTAGGGGAGGTGATTTACATTGGCTTCTCTTTTTTCATTTATATTTGTGCCTTAAAATCTTTTAAACAGCCCAATTCTTTGGTAAATAATTGAGGAAATTTATTTTGTATATTAATATTATTTATTTGTATGGCCCCTTTCAGGTAATTTTTTTTGTAATTATGAGAGGTAGTTATAATGTTCACTCTTTATATTGTACTTTTACTACAGTGTAATCTAATGGTGGTATATTGGTCCCTGTATAGCTTTTAAGTTTTAGCATGCAACTTGTTAATCCAGGACGATTAAGTTGATTTTATCTATCTATTTCGTTTATTATGCTTACCCCAGCTCCAGTATATAATTCCATTCCGATATCGCTATTGCTTATTTTGATATCCACCCAAAATTTTAGATTATATTCATTCGTAATAAAATTCAATATTTCTTTTCTACAGACTCGAGAAATATGCCCAATTTTTGCATTTATAACAAGTGGCATTCTTGAAATGACAATTCTCCCTTCAATTGTTTCGGCCGCAAGAGTGGCAGGGATTTGGTTTTTTTGTAGCTCGTATTATAATTATTATATGATTATGATTGTTTATCATTCTCATTATTAACTTTTTTAATTCTATTTATATTATTAATATGTTACTCTTCTAACTGATCGATTTTAGTTTTATTTTGTATTTTTTATGGCTGTTTCTACTGCAGTATCTGAATAGCTTTATTTATGTCTATATCATCTTCGGATAATAATCTTTGTAAAATTTTAGGATTTTTTATTCCGAATATAAATTTATCTCTTAATGCAGTATTTAAATATTCCCCAAATTCACAAGTCGTTGCTAATTTTCGAAGATTTTGTATATAGTCTATAGTTTTTCCTCATTTTTTTGATTATATTGATAAAAATTATATCTCTCTAACAATTATATTAGGTTTGGGATGAAAAAATTTGATTAAAATATTATGTATTTCTAATACCTCTTTGTTTCCCGGACTATCAGGTGCACACAAATTTACCAGTATTTTGTAAGTATCATACCCTATTGTTAATAACAGTGATTTTTCCTGTGATGATGGTAAACTTAGTAATGTGTTAAATTCTTTAAAGTCGTACTAATTTTCGTAACACAGGGTTGAATCCGTTAGACTTTTTATCGACTGCGTCATTCTTGATATTTAATGTTAGTAGTAATCGAAATATTGTTAGAAATAATTCTTGCAATTGATTTTATTTTATTTCATATCAAAAAACATTTCCTTTTACGTATTCAAATTCATTTAAAAATAGTATGTTCATGAAAAATAAACATTTTAAAAAAATACAAAATAAAACAATTCAATACACAACAATTATGGCAGGGTTCGCATCCCTGCTTGTTTAAAATATCAAAAATAATTCGAATTTTTTTTTCTTAGTAAATGATCTTCAATTCATTATCCAAAATACTTTAGATTAATATTTGTTTAAAATATCAACAATAATTCAGAGATCTTAGTAAAATTTCTTCAATTCAATATCCAAAATAATTCGTATTATTTCATATAAATTTCTTCATAATACCAAAATAATAATAATGGCGATCTTTTTTCACAAAGTTCCCTTTTTCTTTTCATAAAGTAAATAAATATCATGGCCAGAGACAAATATATCTACATTTATTTATTGAATTTTAAATATCTATAAATTTATTTATTTTTACATTAAATATATAATCATTATTAATCATTTTAACATTACATTTTTGGATTAGGGGATGTCCTGACCCCGAATCACAGATAGTTACTCCACTGCGAGGGTTAATCCACCTCGCCCTTTATTGTCCGATGTGTTAAGAAGACACACATGATGTAGGGAATTTGGTATATTAGTCCTTTTTAAAGCTTCGGCGATTAAATGATTAAACTCGCTGTGCCCGGGGTGGCGTTCTTTAAAGAATCGGCAATATTTTTTAACCTAAGGCATTGCATAGAATGCAAACAAACGGTGAAAAGATTCATACCCGGCATAAAGTCCAATTGAGATCCTCATTTGTTCTGAAAAGAAATGTAGATGGCAATTTTGGCTGAGGATTGCCTCGACCCATTCACTCTTCTGGTTGTTGGAATGGAAATTCGGAACGCTCAACCAGAAGAAAAATCCCAATCCCTCTGCATGCATGAAATGGATGACAGGAGATTGACAATTGATTCACCCAAATCCATAGCCGAAGCTAATTGATGATCAATAAAAACATTTAAAATAAATAACTAAAATTTGTTATTATTTGAAAATTATAATTAGAGTTGTATATTTCCCCGGAAAAATTTAACGAAAATAATGAAAAGTTTGAAAAAATAAAATATACATTAAACATTTCGATAATTTTATTAAATTAGTGGGAATTAGTGTAAAGTGAAAATGAAATATTTTTAGAGGAGTTATAAAAATATTTGCGATTTACAGTGTTGTGCAGATTTAGATCAAAACATTTCCATATGTATTAATTTATTTGAAAATAAAATTATTTGACTTGTAAAAAATTGTTTTAAAATATATTCTTATCAATTTTTACAAGTTAAATAATTTTATTTACATACGAATTAAAAAATATGGAAATGTTTTAAATTAAATCTGCACAACACTGTATTAATGAGAAAATTTTAAGATACTTATGGAATGAGAAATTCTGTGTTTTTTTTTATAAAACAAACACCTACAAAAGACATTAAGGTATATAACAAAACTATTAAAAATTTCTGCTGATGTCTAGGTAGGTAGATCAGAGTGAATTTTGGCCACCTCTTATTTCGAAGAGAATGAATCCCTAAATCGAATAGGTTCATGCTAAGATTTACTATATACAATAATATATTAGGTGTTCACTTCACTTAACTATTAAATTAATTATATCGGCATCTAATATATTTATTTGATTGCCTTAGGTTTATTAGTGAATTCAAAACTTTTATCTATAGATTAGCCTCAATTATGATAATCATCTTAAAACTTCCAGTACAAAAAACGAGCCCTTAGCCCGCTTTTATGGCTACTATCCCACCACTACGAAAGTTAGTGATTTGACCAATCTCTTCCCCCCGTCTCCCACATCCCACCCGGAACCTTTTCAAATTACTTCTTCTTTCTCCTTGGGAGAGGCTGAGGGTGGACCATCCACCCAAAATATTTTGACCTCAGATACATTTCAGCAGGCGCCACAGCTCATGACGTTGTTAGATTCGCGAAAGTGCCCCAACTTTCTTCGGGGATCGTGCAATGACGGACCTACGTTCAGATTCATTCATCATCAGAGTAACGCTTCGATTAACCCGCCTTTCCACGACCATCGTAACAGTATATGCGTGTACGAATCCACCGGCAAATACCAGTACGTTACGGATTCTTCCGAACTGGACGTTGGCAACCCACCCATTAAGGACAGCGATAATGAAGATTCGTTCATGTTGGATGTCGAAAGAAAGCCTATCAGCCTATCCATACCCTCGTCGACCTCCTTTTTCCTGTCGGAGTTGTCGTCCACCTCTATAACTACCTTTTCGATTTTCTCATCTCTCGTTAAGGCCACCGCCTGCCCAAACAACGCAGAGCTAATAGATCAGATCGGTGGTGATATCACCCCAAATCCAGATGCCGTCTCGAATTTCTTAGAATTCAATGATAGGTTTAATTCCGAAAATAAGTGTTTGAAATTTTTATTTCAGAATAACCTACTCTTCACATCCAAATATTGTATTTGCGGTTCTATGGCATATTTTTACGAAGACTCGAGAAATAAAATATTCAGATGCTCTAATCGTAAATGTTATAAAAGGATATCCGTATGGAAGGATACCATTTTTTACTCGAATGGCATAGGGGCCGTCAATATATTTCGCCTAATATACCTATTTTTGGAGAATTATCACGTTTCGCAATCACAATTGAGAGAAGTATATATATATATTATATGTATTTTAATTATACAATTCATAGGCCAGCGGACAAGGTTTACCACGAGCTCATTCACCCGTGGTTTTAATTTTTTCCAGCCTGCCCTTGACAGACCTCCAATGCACACACTAGGCCTAACGAATAATGTATTTGAATTATTCATATTTTAAAATAAAATAATTCACCTGAAAAAATATTGACCGAATATTTTTAAGATTTTTTTTTACATCTAATTTTTAAACGGAAAAAATGTCAATAATCTGATGATAAAGAACAATGCTCTCAAGTTATTAACAATATGGTGTTGTTTAGAGTTATAATATTTACTTGCACTGAAATAATTACAATCAATCTACATCAGGAGATATTTTGGACATTTATTAAGTTATACCAGTATATCAATTCGAAATATACAAATGAAAAATATGAGAATTTTCGTAAGTCGAAAAAAAGCAAAATTGCCTATAATATTTTGAATTGAATTAAAAATAATTATAAAAAAAATACATATTAAAATTTCATATTTTTGGTTGTAAAAAATCTATTCAAAATGCAAAACACTGTAAATTTTTGTTTACTTTATTATAAGTATGGCAAAACCTGTTTTCTTTTTCTTCCAAAAAATGCCTTTATAAATATTATTATATTATTCTAAACGTGGGTGAAAATTTTGATAAAATATAGTTTAACATAAATTAGGAGATTCTTGGGAAAAATATCAAGTCAAAATATTAATGTTTCCATGTCCGTATACCACTCGAGGGTTAATTAATTTTTATTAAATAATAAACAATTTTCAAAGTTAATGTCCAATAAGGCTTGCTAGTTTTTCTCCAAAAACAAGCTTCCCTAGACTAAACGTTCTAGAGGAGCGACAGATGTATGAGAAATTATATATTTTTAAAACATGAATTTTAAATTTTGGAAATCATCCTGAGATAAAGTAGGTCAATTTAAATCACCCCAATTTTTTAAAAAAAATTATTGATTTATATCAATATTTTTAATAAAATTCTATTTAAAATATTTTTAAAAATGAAAAAGGCTATTTTTGATCAAATTTTACCTAAAATTCCAATTATGTTTAATAAAAAATCTAACATTTTATCATTTTCATGGATAAGAAATTTATCAAGATGAAATCCCAAATTAAAAAAAAATATTCAAAGTTTTATTTAAATTTTCATTTTTAAAAATATTTTTAAAGAATTTAATTTTCGAATCGAATCCGAATAATGTTTTTATATTCATAATACAAATAAGGAATTGTTCGAATGGTATTTTTGTAGGTATAATGTTGATTTTCAGGGTGGTTGGTTACAAAAACAACCATATAATAATAATAAAGTAATTTATATATATTTAAATTTTTTTGAAATTTTGTCAAATAACCAAACATTTTAAAAATAATTTATGTAATATTTTGTTATAAACAACTGATTCATCCTCAGAAGATAAGGTTAATTGAAACATTTATATTATTTTTTAAAAAATTAACCTTTAACAGACAAAAGGGAGGAGAGGGAGAGTTTCTAAAAATGTTAGATTTTTGGGGACATACTAATCAATTGACACAAAACTAATTTATTAAGATTCTTTTAGAATATTACCTTACATTTTAAATTGGGTTAATATATCAGAACACCCATTTGGGAAATAATAGTAGCTAAAATTAAAAATAAAAAAACATCATTATTTTATAAGCCAAAAAAATAAAATTTTAAAATTGGTTTAACTGTTTTATTTGAGGATATTCATAATAGTATTCGTTTATTCCGAATCACTGATATCGACTAGTTAAGTTATATATTAATATTATGCACATATCTAATTTTTGAATCAGCTTTATATGACAATTATCAAATTAGCTTATGACTTATCAATATATATTTTTTCCAACAATTTCCTGATGGTCTACTGAAACATTAACCTTTTACTTGCAAGGTAATATTATATTAAGATAAAATTTTTTATAATATATAATATTTTTCAATCTAAATCAGCACTTCCCTGCTGACTGAAATACGAGTATTCGATTTAAATCTCGATTTGAATTTTTAAAAATCTATGCCAAACCTATAATGAAGATAATGGTTAATGAATGAGAGAGATATATATAAATATTTGATATATTTTTTAAAGGTAACTATTTAATTTTGTCTTTATATTTAAAAAAAACATGTTAATTTAATTTATAATGCCGAGCCAATTTTTAATCATTTTTTTTACTCACCGTCCAACTACCAAATTTTATAGTTATTTCCTGCCCGACTATGGTCCAGTTTCACTACTCACTCACTAATGATAAATTTGGGGTGTGATCACAGTTTTTGTTTTTATAATTTATTACTATAATAAACAAGGCGACAAAGTTATCCGCCAAGACAACCTTGAGTTATTACAAAATATTTCGCCAAGTATGCATCTATGTAAACGCCAAGGAGTGCAAACCGATAGGAGGTGCGGACAAAACCATAGAAATCGGAGAAATTCAGCTCAACAACACTAAATTTCCCAGGAGAGGGAAGCTAAAACCGCCTCAAATTTGGGTTGTAGGGGGTATTTGTCGCGATACAGATGAATTCTTCCTGGAATTGGTTAGCGAAAGAAATAGCACTGTGCTGACTGATTTGATAAAAAAAAACATATTACATGGTTTAAATTTTATTTTAACATTTATATTTTCTAAATTCTTCACACCAAGTTGAGTTAATTATTTTTTTGACTGCTAATATCTAGTATTTAATATTAGAATCAGAATTTGTAATATGCTCTTCAAAATAAAAATTTTTTTAAGGCTCTTGATCTCTCAAAAAAAAATTTAAGTGAAAATATGGGTGTTGATTTAAATTAAATTTTTAATTAAAAAAAATCTAAACTTAAATTTGTTTCATACAACCTTCGAGCTATAAGTATTTTATCATTTTGTTATATCAATTTATTTTGTAAATAATTTTATATCAATGTATTTAAATTAACTATTTTTGTTATATATGTCGTATTGGGATATAGAATCATGTAGGATTGAATCCCCACGTTTTATTCGGAATTTAAAAAATATTCCGAATCCCCATGAAAACAAAATAATATAATTACTCTTTCTTCCCTTTTTTGCCATCTGGCTGGCACCATATAATTAAAAGGCCAAATTTAAAAAAAAGTAATTAGTATAAAATTAAGGCATATAATGAATGAAAAATAAGGTTAAACATTTTTGTTTTTGTAAATTTATATGAAATATTAAATATTTCCACATGAATATAAATTTTAAAAAAATCCGAATTAAAAAAAAATTATTTATTGCAACAATTCTTTAATGCTATATGACATTTCGTTGAAATTTAAGGTTGTTCTTGAAACACTAACACCTTTTATTCATGCAACCCATTTTGCAATTGCATAACGATGGTTTCCCATAGTTTGTGACATTTCCGGAAGCTCCTAAATATTTTTAGCAGTTTAAATAAATAATTATATATTTTATGTACATAAATTAATTTGAGGAGTATATGTGGTTATTATAAAAATAGCTTAAATTACTTATTATTGATATATCTTTGTTGGGAACTTCAAAATCATTTAATTTTATAGTTTTATTTTTATATAGACTAGAGGCAATAAATGATGCTGAAATTTTTCCAGCAAACGTTCCTACCCATATTTTGTTTAATTTTTAATACTTTCTGTCAAAAAAAAAGGAGTTCAAATGTTAACTATATCAAAAATTACTAAAACCAACGAAATTCTAAAATATAGAAAAATCTAAAAGAAAAACTAAAGGAAGCACGGAACTGAAACTTGGATCTATATTTTTATTAAGTCACAGTAAGTAAAAATTCAAAAGTTTTATTATAATTAAAAAAATCATGAAAAATTAAAAAGTGATTCTTTGTCAAAAAAAAATCAACAACATATTAATTAAAAAATGACTGACATTTCTTTAATTATATACAATTGATAAAACTAATATATATATATATAAAAATTGATTGACATTATATTAGAAAATGTCACATTTACGACATGCCCCCCCCCCTTTATGGGCTGTGGCACGCCTATAAACAAACAAATAAACAAGAAAAAATAGATATTTTTAAAAGATTTGTCACGGTATATATATTCTGGGACAAAAAAAAATGATCGATATATATCGGTGTTGCATGATCAATCAAATTGCTATAGCAGATTTGTAAAATTTTATACAGTCCTTCGATTTTATTTTTAATTTAATAATATCATGATTACCTTAAATATTTCAAAAAAAATAGCTAATTTCAATGTGAATGATTGTGATAGTGAATATAACTATGGGAAATACCAAACTCGAAAGGGACAATAGATATTCCCTAAAGCTTGTCAAATCATCTGCTTCGTTTTCTTTGTCTGCGATATCCATTCGTAATAAAGAATGTTCATTGCCTAAATTCATCATTGGTGGTACTGTGGTATTCCTTTGTGGAGTTTTGGGATAACGAAGACGTTATTATTATAATCGGGTGGTTGTAATTGTTCCGAAAGGTGGAGTGGTGGAGTAAACGATAATTCATGAGCATTGGTTTGATAATCAACTGGACACGAAGGAGAAACAACTTTAAAAAAAAACTTTACTTAAAAATTTTTATGAATAGAGATCTAGTGGGTATTTGTATGAAAACAAATTATTATAATACTTTTTACAAAAAAATTATATGAGGAATCTATTATAATATTTTAAAAAAAAACTTATAATATATTTTAAAAAAAAAACTAATAAAAAAAAACTTATATTAATGTATACTTTTTACAGCGCAAAGCACATTATAACAAACAAAAACTATTTCTCCCATGTGCTTCAATTTTCTCAATAATATTATTACAATATCCCTTGGTGTGAGCGTCAAGTGAAACAAATAACATAACCTTCTAATTCACTCACGCGAATCCCCCAAAATTAATATTATTCATTACTACTTTTAAAAATAAGTAAGGACAAAAATTGGCAACCATAGAACTGGGAGAAACAAATATTGAATACATCAACCATCTTCTTACCAAATGTTTAAGTTGATCAAAATTAAAATCACCAACTATTTGAATACCCTTAAAAAAAACTTTCTATTAATCTAATAAAAAATAAAAACATCTTTTCATTACACTAAAAAAAAACTTTCTATTGTTTTCATTACACTAAAAAAAAAACTTTCTATTAATCTAATAAAAGATAAAAACATCTTTTCATTACACTAAAAAAACTTTCTATTCATTTAATAAAAGACAATATGCAAACATCTTTTCATTACATTGAAAACAAAACTTTATTTAATAAAAGATAACATTAACACAAATCTGTTATTCATTTAACAAAACAGACAAAGAACATTCCTTAACGAACCAAACCGAAGAAAACTTTCCATATCATTACCATGTTGACAAACTTTTTATTAAACCCGTCTACATTGAACTATGATTTTAATCGAAAATGACCAACAACCCGTCTATATTGAACTATGATCTTTAATATGACCAAATATATTTCATTACCATGTTGACAAACTTTTTATTAAACCCGTCTAAATTGAACTATGATTTTAACTGAAAATGACCAACAACCCGTCTATATTGACATATTTTCAATATGACCAAATATATTCGGAAACCGAACCCATACGAACCCCCCCCCCCCCCAAAAAAAAAATAAGACGCTTCTTATTATCCCAATCTTACATGATCGTGATGACGAATCACAGTCACCCCTGTTATTAACAAAATTTCACTTAATTTCTAACCCCGGTTCAATATGACCCGACCCTTTTCTCATTTGGTTGCCCGATCGTCAAACAATCGGGCCCAAACCTTTTGTCCCACGGCAAACCGCCCTAATTTTACTTCCATTGAGGTAATAGTTTTCTTCTTTGGTTTTAAGAAATCCAAAGGACCCCGTGTTCGCCTACCTAAAAATAACTCGACAGGCGTAACTCCCTCTCGATTACGAGAATTGAGGTAATATAATTGAGACATGTAAGCCTCCTCTTTATGGGTTCCAGCCTTTTTGATCCAATTTTTAACAATGGCTACCATCCTCTCAGCTTGTCCATTCGAGCTGGAATGATATGGTGGAGCCATAATGTGTTTTGTCTGTGACTCAACACAAAACTGTTTAAAATCTTCACTGACAAAGGCGCGACCCCCGTCAGACACTATCTTGTCCGGAAAACCGAGCATATAATTCTCTTAATTTTTTAACAACAATTTTTGTGGTATATCCATGTACTTCTGCATATTCTATCCATTTAGAATACGAGTCTACCACTAAAAAATATGTCCTTTTATCAAGATCAAAGAAATCGATGTGGATACGTTCCCAAGGTTTCTTTGATTTAGGCCAAAATTGCCCTACCTCTTTACGGGGCATAGGGGAACAGGCATTACAAGGAACGCATTTCCTGGTAATCCGTTCAATATCTTTACCCATACCAGGCTACCATACATATTCTCGTGCCCAAGATTTCATCTTGTCTCGACCTTGATGGCCGGCATGCAATAATTTCATAATTTTACTCCGTAATTTATAAGGAATTACGGCCCTGTTTCCCCTCATAATACAATCATCAACAATTGATAATTCTTTCTGTATTTTTTTATATGCATCATATTTGTTTTTTTAAGGTTTATCTCCTGATAGACTTAATTTTATCTGACCTAGAACTTTGTCATTCACAGTATTGGCTTTCAAATCCTCCCAATTTGTAGGACCCCCTTTTAAAATATAAGACAGAGAACGCACTAAGGCCTTCTCTCTATCACTTATACTACTATTTATTTCCGGGTCTGCACAGCCAGAACCCAACCTGGACAAAATATCCGGCGAATGATTCTCTTTGCCCCGACGATATCTAACCTCCACGTTAAAACTGCCCACTAATAATAACCAACGTTGTAACCGGGGAGATAGCATTAACTCCCTATTATCTTTTCGGAATAGGTGGATTAACGGCTTGTGGTCAGTAAAAATTTCAAATTTTTTACCAATCAAATATTCACGGCATTTCGTCAAACCGAAAATCACGGCCAAGGCCTCCTGTTCAATTACCGAATACCTCGTTTCGACATCCCGAAAAACTCGGGGAAAAAAAGGATGGGTCTTTCCACACCCTCAATTACATGTAATAAGGCTCCTCCAACACCTTTGTTGGAGGCATCAACCGCTAAAATAATTTCTAAATCATTGTTGAAACAGACTAAAATTGGCTCTTCCCCAATTTTTCCCTTTAAAATTTCAAATGCTTCTTGTTGCTCTACTTTCCAATCGAAATGAACACCCTTTTTTAATAACTCATATAACGGGGCAGCTACCTTCGCAAAATCCTCTATAAAACGATGATAGTAATTTACCATATCCAAAAAGTACTGCACTTCAGCCTTATTATTGGGCTGCTTCAAATTTAATATATTTTTCAAATTTTTTTGCAATGGCTTCACCTCAATCCCATTTATTTGATGGCCTAAATATTCGACCTCTATTACGCCCAAAATGCTTTTTTCTTTGCTGGCTCTCAAGCCTTTACCATGAATTCTTTTAAAAACTCCCTCCAGACGATGGTTATGCTGCTCAGGCGTTATCCCTGTAATTAGCACATCATCCATGTAATAAAATACACCCTCTAGTCCTTGGAAAA